TTTTTTCTGTTGATGGTGTCCTTTGCCATACAGAACTTTTTAGTTTGATGTAGTCCCATGAGTTCATTTTTGCTTTTGTTTCCCTTGCTCGAGGAGGTGCATTCAGGAAAAAGTTGCTCATGCTTATATTCAGAAGGTTTTTGCCTATGTTGTCTTCTAAAAGTTTTACAGTTTCATGACTTACATTCAGGTCTTTGATCCATTTTGAGTTAACTTTTGTGTATGGAGTTAAACAATAGTCCAGTGTCATTCTCTTCCATTTAGCTGTCCAGTTTTGCTAATACTAGTTGTTGAAGAGGCTGTCATTTCCCCATTGTATTTACATGGCACCTATATCATATATTAATTGACCATATATGGTTGGGTTGATATCAGGGCTGTCTAGTCTGTTCCATTGGTCTATGGGTCTGTTCTTGTGCCAGTACCAGATTGTCTTGATTACTGTGGCTTTGTAGTAGAGCTTGAAGTTGGGGCACATAATCCCCCCAGCTTTATTCTTCCTTCTCAGAGTTGTTTTGGCTATTTGGAGTCTTTTATGGTTCCATATGGAATCTGTAGATTGCTTTAGGCAGAGTCACATTTTGACAATATTAATTTTTCCTAGACAAGAGCATGGGATGAATTTCCATTTGTTAGTGTCCTCTTTAATTTCTCTTAAGAGTGTCTTGTAGTTTTTAGAGTATAGGTCTTTCACTTCCTTGGTTCAGTTTATTCATAGTTATTTCATTCTTTGGGATGCATATGTGAATAGAATTGTTTTCCTGATTTCTCTTTCTGCTAGTTCATCGTTAATGTATAGGAATATAACAGATTTCTGTGTATGAATTTTGTATCCCACAACTATGCTGAATTCAGTTACTAGATCTAGTAATTTGGAGGTGATTCTTTAGCTTTTTTTATGTACAATATCATGTCATCTGCAAACAGGGACAGTTTAACTTCTTCCTTGCCAATCTGGATGCCTTATATTTCGTTGTGTTGTCTGGCTGCCATGGCTAGGACCTCTGAACTCTGTTGAATAAAAATGGGGAGAGTGGGCATTCTTTGTTTTGTTTCCTATTTTAAAGGAAAAGCTTTCAGCTTCTCACTGTTAAGTATAATGTTGGCTGTAGGTTGTTTGTATATGGCCTTTATTATATTGAGGTACTTGCCCTCTATACCCATTTTGTCAAGAATTTTTATCATGAATGGATGTTGAATTTTGTTAAATGCTTTTTCAGCATCTATGAAGATAATATGTGGTTTTTGTCCTTCATTTTGTTGATGTGTGGTGGATGATGTTGATTGATTTTCGCATGTTGTACCATTCATGCATCTCTGGAATAAATTCTACTTGATCATGATGGATTATCATTTTCCTCTATGTTTGAATTCAGTTTGTTAATACTTTGTTGAGTATTTTTGCATCTATGTCTGTAAATTTCATTTTTTGTGGTATCTGTGCCTGGTTTTGGTATTAGAATGATTCTGGCCTCATAGAATGTGTTTGGGAATATTCCTTCCTCTTCTACCTTTTGTAATACTTTGAGAAGGGTTGGTATTAGCTCTTTAAATGTTTAGTAGAATTCAGCTGTGAAGCATCTATTCCTAGACTTTTGTTTGTTGGAAGTTTTAAGATTACCAGTTCAATTTCATTATGGGTAATTGGTCTGTTCAGAGTTTCTTTTTCTTCCTCAGTCTTGGAAGATTGTATTTTTCTAGGAAGTTGTCCATTTCTTTTAGGTTGTCCTATTTATTGACATAATATTTCATAGAATTCTCTAATAATTCTTTGTATATCTGTTTTAGCCATTTTGACTGTTGCTTTTTCATTTCTGATTTTGTTTATTTGTGCACTTTTTACTTGACAAGTTTGGCTAGGAGGTTGTCTATTTTGTTTATTTTCTCAAAGAACTTTCTCTTGCTTTCAGTTATTTTTTTCTATTGTTTTATTCTCTAATTTTATTTTTTGTGAGGTATTTTTATGTCCATTCTGCTAACTTTGGATTTTAGCTCTTTTTCTAGTTTCTTTAATTGTGAGTTTTTACTGTTCTTTTGGGATTGTTCTCGTTTCTTGAAGTAGGCATTTATTGCTGTGTACTTCTCTCTTAAAACTGCTTTTGCAGCATCCCACAAATTTTGTACTGTTGTATTTTTGTTTTCATTTGTCTCCATTTATTGCTTGATTTCTGATTTAATTTGTTCATTGCATCCATTGATTATTTAAAAGCATCTTGTTTAGCCTACATGTGTTTATGGGCTTCTTTGTTTTCCTTGTGTAATTTTTTTCTAGTTTCATGCTGTTGTGGTCTGTGAAGTTGCTTGCTATAGTTCTTTCTTTTTAAAATTATTGAAGCTCTTTTTGTGGCCTAGTATATGATCTGTTCTTGAGGATGTTCCATGTACACTTGAGAAAAACATGTATCCTGCTGAGTTTGTTTGGAATGACCTGTAGATAATCTGTTTTGAGATGCAGTGGGACTGGCAGAGATTGCCTGTTCTCCATGAGCAGCTGGCATCTTAGCCTCCCATAGTGCTCCCATTCTCCCTTGTTTCCAGCTCTGCTAATCACCAAACTAAATACAGTGTGGACTGGTGTGCCCAGAGTAGGACTCCACAGCCAGGTGTGCAGAGTCCCTAAATGCCTATCTCCTTCACTCTACATCCCGCTCCATTACTCTTCCTCCTGCCAGTGGGCTTGGATGGAGAGAGGGCTTGGGTCCTGCTATATCACGGATCTGCCACACTTCTCTGTGTGATTTTCTCTTCTTCACCAGGTGTAGGTTTATTCTGTAGCCTTCTGGTCATTTTCAGGTTTAGTTGCTTTCATGGTGTGTGTGTGGGAGGAGGTTTCCACCTTGCCTTCCTACTTGGCCATCTTTTTCCCAGTCTCTTGCAGTGGCTATTCTTTCTCCTCTCCTACAGACACTTTCTCTTGACTTGTGTCTATAAGATTTCTGTCTGCTGTTTTTCTTAATTTTTAATTCTCAACTTAATTTTCAACTCTTCAGAGAAATCCGAATTGATCTACCCATTTTTAAAGTAGCCTCCTCTGTATCTGATGAAGAATTTTCAGCTATTTCATACTAAATTACTGTGTCTTATTTCTTTTCTTTTAGTTTCATTTATTGCTTGCTTAGCTATTTGTTCACCTGTTTGTTTCATATTTCCCCCCATGTTTCCTGAGCTTGAATAATATGTTCTAAACAGTAGCTTCTAAATTATTATTAAGTAAATAAATATTGGTGGATGAATGAATCAAAATGAATTTCTTCCTTTGAACTAAATCATTTAAGTTGGTGGGTTTCCCCACACACCTAGCATCTGATTTGAATCAACTATTTCTTTATTCTAGGAATCAAATGAATAACACCCTTTTGTTTATGTATTTCTAAAACTAAATCCTGTGTCCACTGATATTGTGCCTTAAACTCCGTTAATTTTATAATTTCACTTAATATTTGATCTGGTTTACTTATTTTGTCAGAATGTTTTAAGAATTTTTTTAATAAGTCTATAGTGTTATTAAACATGGATTTATTATATACATTCAGACCTATAAAAATCACTATTCCATTAAGGTGGAGGTTTTTACTCTTTGTTTTTCTTTTTGATTCATCTATCTTTGGCTGGAATATCTTGTGTGAATTTGTTACTCCACCAAATAGCTATTGAGATAGTATAATTCTAGACAGCTGAAAATGAATTTTTACTGCTTTAAACATGAATAAAATTATGACATAGTATAGATTCCTTGTGCTATACTCCCCGTTTCCCCTTAGGACTCTTGTTTTCCTCAGGCATTTGACAATGAGAAAAATGGGGCCATACTGATTTTTGTTCCTTTAAAGGTATATGTATTCTTGTAATGTTTTTCTCTCATTTTGAATTTCACAGAAATAAATCTCAGTAGTGGTTTCTTATTGTGATTGGTTATTTCTAGTGCAGATTTTTAATAGCTTCTTCATATTTAAGTTTAATTGTTTTCATACTTTTTGAGGTCTTTTGTTTCTGTATATCTTTCAGGTAGCTGTTTTTAATCTTGTTTTATTTCATACTGTTGTTTTATTGGGATAGACGCAGAGCAAATATTTTCTTCTGCATTTTGGTTGAAGCCCTTCCTTTTTCCTCTAGTAGTTTCTTTCCATAAGATTCATTTGTTTCCTTCCCTCATTTATTATTCTTAAATAGAAAGAAGGTTCCCTAGACTTTTTAAGTCCCTGTGTTGGAATGTAATCTTGAAGCATCCTCCACCCACCCCCCTATAGAACACACTACTTAAATAGCTCTTCTAGTTTGCCTCTTTCTTCTATAGACTTGAGTTGCAAAGCAGCAGCATCTAGTCACTAATATCCTGGTTAGGTTATGATGAATTGATTAGGTATCCACATGGATACACTATGAGAACAGCTAACCAGATATCTGGCATGGTATCTGGTAGAGAGTACTCGATAGGAAGTCTTATTTGAGAACTTATTTGTTTGAGATTCAAGTAGACATATGTGGAAATCTGTATAGTTCTTCTTACATAGAATTACCTGTTAGATCGCATTCTGAGTTTTAGTTCAAAATTTAGGAGTCTGACAGATGAGTGACTAATATTTATGGTTTCCAAGGCTGTCCTAATATTGCAACCCTTTTTATTCTTATGAATATGTCAATGAAAAGATGAAAGGAGGTGAATCACATACTAATTACTGTAAGTTTTCATATTATTTTGCCATTTTATGTTCATGATCTTACTTAAAACATGTTTATTTTTTGATTTGTGCTATTTTGGAAGGTAGGCCTTTATAAAGTAATGTGTCATCTATAAGTAAGTATTAAGTTTGTTTAGATTTCAGCTTATGTCACACAGATTTATGATTTCATTTTTAAAATATTATTAAAACAATAGAATCATGTTCCCTCATAGTCTAATTTAGGAAAGTATTTTATGACTTTTAAAGTACTTCTTCCCTCATGATTCATTCAGCTCAAGTTTTGATCAGTAAATGAAATCTCTTTTCTTTGTATTAAAGTACTCAACTGTGTGGGATATTGCATAATTCTTGGAAGACTGCAATAAAGTGGCAATGTCTCGGGAACCCACCCCACCTCTCCCTGGAGATATGTCTACTGGTCCTATAGCAGAAAGCTGGTGTTATACACAGGTACATTGTATTTAAAATGCCTTACTTTATGTCACAAATATATATTTTGAGAATATTGTTGAAGCACTTTGGCATAGTTACAGAAGTGGTAGAAGAGTATGGTATAGGATGTTTTAACATGACAAGTTAAAAGCATAAAAGTCATCATTATAAAAGTGGTTTTCTGAATCTCATAGGTTAAAGTAGTAAAATTTTCCTACATGTGGACCATTAATAACTTCAGTTTTTGTCGAGAGGAAATGGGTGAAGTGTTAAAAAGTTCAACATTCTCATCTAGCCCCAGTGATAAAATGAAATGGTAAGATTTTTTTTTTGTTTTGGATTATAGTGTTTTTTTTTAAATTGAATTACAGTTGACATAATGTATTAGTTTCAGGTATAAAACAGTGGATTTTTGTTTTTGATGTTATCATTGCTATTTTATATTTTTGTTGTTTCTGAATGGATATATTAGTCTAATTTTATATTAGATTTGTAATAAGTTCCTAGTAATATAAAGAACTGTGGCTATATTGATGGAGTGCTGTTTGCAGTATTATTTAACAAATGATTTCACTATTGCTTCTCTTTTTTGAATGTTTAAAAGTATTATTCCTCCATGTGAGCTTATTGTTTTATTTTAGGTGCCTGAGGGTAAATCCAAAAGGATTAGATGATGAAAGTAAAGACTACTTGTCCTTATATTTACTTTTAGTCAGCTGCCCAAAAAGTGAAGTTCGAGCAAAATTCAAATTTTCCCTTCTTAATGCTGAAAGGGAAGAAACAAAAGCAATGGGTAAGTGATTTTCAAACTGTGAAGAAGTCTCTGTGTAACTATATACTGTGACTTCTGTACTTTTATCTAGAAAAACTTAGGCTATTTTTTTTCCACTAAAGTCTGCTTAACCTGAAATACTTATTTTGGCAATTACTTAATTTTAAATGTTTATATAGAGTTGCAGTTGTTTAGCCAAGTCTTAGACTTCATAAGACATGTAAAATTAGTTAAATAATATTAACGTTTAATTTTTTTGTGTCCTAAAATGACGACTCACTTGTCACTTAGAAAAATAATTGCTGTTAGGGCAAGGTGCCTGGCTCATTGCCTGGCATGTATAAACAAGTGTTAGGGAACTATTTCTCTTTTTCCCTTGCCAAAAAAAAAAAAAAAAAAGCCAGATAATAAAATCTGAAGAACAATATGAAAGGAGAGTGAATGTCTTGATATTTGTCACTAGAATTGCTTGAAAAGTGGACTGAATGCTAACTTAAAGGAATTTTTTTTTTTAATTTTCAGGACCTACTAAATTCAGCATAGGCTTTACATATATAGCCAATTGAAACCATGTAGCCTAGAGTTTCATAATAGAACATTTTGATTAAATGGACAATATGCATAGTAGAGAAATATGTTGTGAACTATCACATTAAATTTTAAGTAATTTCTATAACTGAATTACAGTAGCAAGTAACACCATTATAAAAAAAGAAAACTCCAGAGTTTTAAATAGTACCTTTCATTGCCAAAGAAATACATAGTTTCACATACTTTTTCTGTTTGATGTTTCAGATAGTGGAGTGTTTTAGTCAGTTCTGATTCTTGTAGCAAAGTACCATGACTGGGTGGCTTACAAACAGACATTTATTCCTTACAAATCTAGAGTCTGAGAAGTCCAACATCAGGGTGCCAGGATAGTCAGATTCTGATGCAGGCCCTTTTCCGGGTTGTAGACAGCTTCTTGCTATGTCTTCACATGGTGGAAGGGGCTAGGGAACTTTGTTTGGTCTCATTTTTAAGAACACTGATCCCATTCATGAGGGCTCTATGCTCATGACCTCATGTAATCCCAATTACCAACCCCCTAATACCAACATATTGAGTGGGTAGGGTTTCAGAATAAGAATTTGGAGGGAATACAAATAGTCCATAGCATGGAGTATTCAATTAAATTTATTACTGGTTTTCCATCTCCACTTAATTAATTTGTATAACAAATAGTGAATACTATCTGTAGAGGATCTTGTTTATTTCATAATATACAGTTGTTACATAGTATGTTAGGCATTTGAAACATTTACTTAAGATGATTAAATCTTTTACAAATTATATTGAAACCATCTTTTGTACTTTTATGAAAGTTGTTTTTAGGGATGAGATTATGTTTAAAGACCTAGGAATGATAAGGGACTTTAGTGATTTCACCAGTTAATGGATTTTTCTCTAGTTTAGTAAAAACAGTAGGATGGATATCCCAGGAAAGTATAAATGATACCCTGGTGATTTAGAGAATCCATTTTTAAAGAGAGAAGCAGGAAATGGGAGGTATATTTTTAATTGGGTTGTAATATTAGATGAGTATTATGTCAGTGCCAATGTATTTTGATCCCATTTTCATTAAAGGGCCTGCATTGTTAGAAAGATACTTCCTTCACCATGAAATTCAATCATGCTTTTCTTGTACATAGAGATCCAAAAATCTGAAAGTGAGCTCATTATGATTACCAAATTTTGAGTAATGTAGAATGATCTGGTTCTATTTGATAAAACTCTCATGACACATTATTTATGAATGCACATGTCTGTAATTATTATGGATGTATTGGCCAACTATTACATATTTACACATTCATGTAACTGTTGTCATTAACAAAAATTTTTCTTGCGTATTTGTTTTATTTAAACTTCTATTCTGTTTTCCACCAGAAAGCCAAAGAGCATACCGATTTGTGCAAGGAAAAGACTGGGGTTTTAAAAAATTCATTCGAAGGGATTTTTTGCTTGATGAAGCTAATGGTCTTTTGCCAGATGACAAGCTTACATTATTTTGTGAGGTGGGTACATTTTTTACTTCAAAGAACTCTATGACTATATTTAGTGATTAAAAAAAAGCAATGTAGAGCACAACTTAATTTTAAAATTAAGTAGTTGGTATATTGATAAGATTTCATTTGCAAACATCTACCAGCAAAAGCAGACCGGATTGTCTTAGAAATCAGTATGGTAGCATAATCTGAAAGAAGTCTGTCATAGCTCTGGCTATAAATTACGTATGCAGCTGTATTTCCATATATTAAACTTCTTCCTCTTAGGAAGCTACAGATATGTATATCTTCATATGAAATTTTCTGAATATCTTCTTCATTCTGTGTAATTCTGACATGGATGGTCAATATTTTTTGTCGTATTCAGATTGATTATATTAAACATTATTAGTGGTTTTATTGATTTGAATCTACTTAAAATAGTGGTAAAAGTGCCTGAAAAAGATCGGGAAGCTTTTTATTCATTCAAGCACATAGGTTCATTTAATCAGATAGATGTTATCATTATAAATAATAGCATCTCAAAATTTTAAGATATGCACATGTATTTTGATAAACTTAACAATGGATATGGATATGTATATACATAAAATGTCATATTTTGAAAGTTACCAGTACTACCCCTCCCAATAATTTACACTTATGATTTGTCTTAATTTGAGGTTTGGATTTATTTCTGTCATTGTTGTCGTTATACAGTTTTAACTATATGAATTGTTGAGATTCATCTCTGGAGAGAATTCAAGGGTTATATTAAGTTACCAATATAGTTGATAGAGAACATACATCAGTAATAAGGTTTAATGAAATGTTCAAGGTAGTTGATAAATTTCATATAAAAGTCAGTTGAAAATACTAAGATCAACTAAATTCTATGTTAAATCTATTTCAGTAAGTTATTGTAAACAAATGAGTATCTTGGAAACACAATACTTTGTTAACTGCTACTAAGTTAGCATGATTTCTTTATATAAAATGTGTGAAATTTCTCAGCAAGATTATAAACTATGTCATTATGCTGTGTCAGAAGAATAATTGAAGTATGGCCCCAGAGACTACATAGTGCAAATATAGTGCATCTTATTTTCACTTAGACAAGTTAAATGAACTGTAGGATGAATTTGTTATGAATGCAATTATTTGGTTGATAAAGCACACACCACAAGTGTCTTGAGCAGAGATAATCATTAAATAATTTGAAAAACAAATACTAAAGCATTTGTTGCCAAAAAAATCAGATATTCTAAGTGGTATTATAAAATTAGCATCTTTATTGTAGAATCTTCCAGAATTTTACCACTTACCTTCAGTTTCAGTATGTTAATTTTTAAGAATCATGTAATCTTAGCATTTAAAGACCTTAAAAGCTTTGTAATCCAATTAAAAAAAAAAACTACTGTAGCTATAAGTCTTTCTGTGAAAAATTTTAAAGAAAATACTTATTTTTTTAGAACTGAAGTAATTGTTTACAGATCCTTTCTTAAGCATATTGTATTGGAACCTAGCCAACCAAGAAATTCAGAATGAAAGCTGAAATGACGATTTGTTTTCAATATATATTTTTAAAGTATACCTTGTATCTCCATGCTAATGACTTCCTAGAAATAGAACCCCCCCCATGACTTACATTTTAAGTTGGCTTTGACCCTAGATTCAGTTTTGGAAATTACTCTAATGTGTACCTTTTTACTGATGTGGACGTTTATACCTTGGACACCATATTTGACATAGATGGGCAAAAAGCACTTTGAAAAAACCTTCCTCATGCCCTCCACTGTTTCTTCCATACCTCTCATTGATGCCCTTCCTTCTACAGCCCCTTCAGCACTGCTTGCAGAAGAGGAGGAAGCATTGCACTGCCCTACCTAAAGAACTGCCTCCTTCCCCTCCCCTGCAAGTGGTGCTGTAGACAGGTAAGACAGTTTGGTGCTACCTTTTTTGTGCAAGACATAACTTAATCTTGCAAGTTCCATACTGTGAATCAAGTAGCCAGAGGTAGAGATTTCTAGCAGTATAAACAGCTTTGCCACTTCTTTCCCAGAGTGATGTAGAAGATAAGAATTGAGGAATAAGTAGAAAAAATAGAAAACTTGTTAATTAGTTCATCTTTTGAAGTTCCCAAAGATTTTAAATAATCTCATAGCCCCATGCCATTTCATGATACACAGAATATACTTGTACAAATAAACTATATGTGAGCTTTAATAAAATTAAATGAATTATTTAGAAAGATACGTATTTTCTCCAGTCCTGTTTTTCTGATGTTTAAGATAGCCTTTCTGTTTCAAAATACTTGTGATAATAGAAGGAAGTTGAATTATTCTCTAAAAAAACTCTTTCATAGCCAAGTGAAAATTCTGCCTGTTCCTGTCTCCCAGTTTTTAAAAAGGGATACCAATCAGTAAAAGCCAAAAAATCTAAGACCCACTATTCTAGATGTTGTAAAGTTGGACTATTAGAAGTTTCTCACTTTGGAGCCAATGTTAGGGATGGCAAAACTTGCAGTACTATGCACCCTTGTAGATCTCTAGCTTTCAGAATTAGTTTGGAGAATGGTGATTTTTAGAAATTGGAACCACTAGTCACCTTAATTCCACATTCAAGGAGACCCAAATTTTCAGGTTGTCATAGTTGATTAGCGTCTGCATATGTTCATTTTCAGTCTAAATTATATTCTCAAAGTTGAGCCAGAAGTTAATTTGAAAAAGAATGGTAAAGTGAGTTTAAAGTTTTCTTTGTAGCATTTGTCACTTTTGACTATGATGCTTTTGCCTTAGTATATTCAAAGAACAATTTATAACTTCAGGGAAGAATCTCAGCCTTTTTTCTGAATTTTTTACTCTAGGTTCCACTCAGTAAGAATTATCTGTATTTGAGTATGCACTAGAAAAACTAAAATTTTACCAATTTCTTTATTATAGGTATCAGGAAAATACTGATCAGATTCATTGCATATCAATTTTTAATTAGGTCATTAATTTCTGTTCTATAAATAGTCCCTGGAGTACTTTTTGAAATATATGTTAATTATGTCTTAGTTAAAATTTATGGTTGCTGTGGTAATACTATGTAGACATGTATTTCAATATAAATTCTTATGAATTGTGATTATATATACAAATAAAAATACATCATCATATATATCCATGCCTAATAACAATGGCTTTATTTTGTTATCTTTTTGTTTCCTTTGTCTTGTGATTTTTACCAAATTTATCAGTAAATATATTGTTTGAGGTTGGATTATAGACGATAAATAGAATTCAAAAAGTCCTTTCCTAAATTAAATATATCATCACAGTTTTATAACACTGCTGTATAGTTTATGCAAATAATTGAATTGATCTAGTTCCTCCCATCTAGAAATTTCAAGAGCAGTGCTTGATACAAATAAAAAATATAGGGGAAATCTAATCTCTAACTCAACCCTGAATATTAACACCAACATTTTTTATTTATGTATCATTAAGTTATAATGTATGGTATAACAGGGCAATTAAGTAAGGATTAATAAAGCTTTTTTTTTATTTTGTAGTTATTAAAATTCTAAAAACAATTTGAATAATTAAAAACTTAATAGAACTTTTATAGGATTTATTTATAAATATTTGGCTCTTATATTTAGGAAAGACATCTCACAAGTGTGTTGTGATTAATCATTTCTGAACCATGATTGAATTAAAGAGTACTACTGATTGTTAAATCTCCGAAGAAATAATGTGTACTTTAATGCTAAAAAAGGAATCTGAGGATAAAGGTCTAGTCTTCCTCTGATACTGACTAGCAGGGTGATTTAGGACACAGTACTTACCTTGGTCTCACTTTGAAATCTTTTTATAAAATGATTGGATAAGATTTCTATGACAAATGATTCCCAAAGTTAATGCAAGTTGGAAAAACAAAATGGTTAATTAAAATATCTTCATAAAATAAAGTTTTTATTTAGAAATATCCATTGATTGATGTGAGATACAAGTTTATACATCTGGGTAAATAAGGATTTCTGAGATTTTACGCTCTCCAAACATTTTATAATACTGCACCATTATGATACTTTCTGTGTTGGCATGTTAGTAGTTCAGTCCAAATTATTCATTTCCAATTTACATATTCTACAGTTTACTATATTTATGCTTCTTATTTATATATATTTTTATTTAATAAATACCTTACAAAATATGTTTTAAAATGAATGCGGTTACTTTTTCCTGCATAACAAGTGACTATTTAATTCAGAAGCTAAAAATATAACTAAGATAGGACTTTTTGTAAAAGATGATTCGATTACTCTGAAACATCTGCTTTACTTATTGAGGTATCTTCAGTTTATTAAATGTAATGTGAAATTTCTAATAATAGCATACCTTTTCTTAAAAGTGGTTGTGCAAGACTTACTCAGTAGTGTTTTAAGCTACTACTCAGTACATAGCTATATGTAATGAGAGATAATTTAATCTGTATTATATTGAAATTGATATAAAAGTGTAATAATACCAATTTTTATTGATTGATTATTTCATAGGCAAATAAAAGGTCTACAAAGTGAACTAAATTATATTTGTATTGTTCTTCTTTTTGCAGTTTTTCAAATGTTTTTATTGGCTTTAAAATTCCTTTAAGGTATATACAGATATACAACTAGTTTGATCAGCTACTAATATATTATGGTATTCCTTTGTTTTTGCCCTTAAGAGCCAGTTCACTTTATCTCCATGTTCAGTGTTTAACTTTGGTAAAATTTTGCCATGTTCTTCATCTGTTACTGAAGCATGAGTGTTTCCACCCTACTTGGTATAAGTTGCTCTTTTAGTTTTCCTTTTGTGGGTATGTTTTGTAGGACTTTTCTATTTTTTCTCAACTTCGCTGCTTATATTCCACAATATTATTTTCCCATCATTCCCTCCAGTAAGCAGCAAATAGGATTCTAACAGAAAGCAGACCTGGGATACCCCTGAAGTGTGGCCCTTAAATCCGAGTTTCTGTTCACACTTGATTCCCATCACCCTAAAGACTCGAATCTTACCATCTTCTGCACCACAACTGAAAATATTGCCACACAATGCCACAGACACAGAGTAGGCTAGAGCAGGATTTAAATGCTGACCAGGTGACCAACCATTAGCTTTCTATTTCTTCTGTTTCATCTTCCTGTAAATTTGTAATCCAAAGTGGCCAGGCTTTCTGAAGGTTCCACAGCATGACCTGCATATCCAGTCCACATGACATGAAGCTCTGAGGCTATTGAGGCTGAAAAGCCACAGAGGAACAAATATTGGCATATTTCTTCAGTGATCTGCTAACTTCCTTATTTTCCAAGTCTAGGATTTTGATTGCACCAGAATCATCAGCAGAAGCCAGCAGGTCTTCCTTCAATGAAAGGCAATTGATTTCTTCTTCATTCACATGAAAGGGGTCCAGGGAACCTTTGAGGGACCTTACATCCAGTATGCTAATGGTTTCTCCATGTGAGGCATAAAGTTTGGTGGGGCAGGAGGGTGAGAATAAGACACTAGTAACATCATTAGCCCCTTGGAAGGGCGTGTGTCCTAATGGAGTCCCATCTTCACCCTGAGCCATTAGATCTCCACCCTCTGCTCCAGAAGCCACTAGCTAGCCCTTCTTGACTTACATTCAGGCAGAGAATAGGAGAAGAATGTCGACCAGTCCACTTGACTGCCATAATGGCTCAGAAGACTCTGCGCTTTCCTGCTTCCCTTCTCTGTGCCTAGTGATGACCTATTTGTATTGTTCTTGCTGTTGATTTTTAGAAAAGATTTCCATGAACTTTAATAATTGTAATTGCTTTTGTGAGAATTCTTGCATTTTAAAATTTAAATCAATTTTACTGGAATCGAAGCATGTAAGAATAACACTTAAAATACCTTAAAAATTGTGTATTTTAAGATTCCAGTTTTATATCCTCTTTTAATATTGTGAAAAGTATTATGAGTGTGATGCTGTGTTATTGTATGTATAATAAATATTGGTAGCTTTGTAGTGTATATAAGGAAATTAAAATTCTTCCTCTACCTCAAAAGAATGTCTTCTTGTTATGACTTTTATCTTAAGGAATTGTTTTTGTAATTAATAACCAAGCATCCCGCTAATCAGTAAGCCATTTAATTTTAAAAATTACACTCAATCTAGTTTGTTTCAAATTTTTCTGTATTCTTTTCTTTAAATTGTATCCTTAAATTCAATTCCAGGTATTTGATCCAGGGGTGCACTGAGTTATCCAAATTATTTTAATGACAAATTTAAGTATAAACTTAGTAATTAATTACTGATACTAATTTGTAAAAGTGATTTTCTTGCTGTCCCTTAATTATTAGGTGAGTGTGGTCCAAGATTCAGTAAATATATCAGGACATACCAATACAAATACTTTGAAGGTACCTGAATGTCGACTAGCAGAAGATTTAGGTAATCTCTGGGAAAACACAAGATTTACAGATTGCAGTGTTTTTGTGAGAGGACAAGAATTTAAAGCCCATAAATCTGTACTTGCAGGTACTTTCTACTTTTGAGTAATATTGTACAATTCTTTCATACATTTGTGCAATAAATAATGATGCTTAATCTTGTTACAGCTCGATCCCCAGTTTTTAATGCAATGTTTGAGCATGAAATGGAAGAAAGCAAAAAGGTAAATGGTTTGAAGGTTAATATTTAATTTCTGCAAGTGTTGAATAGTGGAATATATATTTTAAGAGTAACAGTTCACATTCTCATTATTATGCTATTATTTTACAAAGAAATAGAAAGATGTGAAAAAATGTGTATGTGTACTATGGTAAAACAATTGATGTAGCCTAATATGGGGGAATATTTCAAATAACAGCTGTTTTGATTCTCATCTGGTAGCAGAAAAGTGGTTAGTTGTTATCCAAAAGGACTGTTCTATTCTATAACTATACGAGAGTGGTCTGGTTAAGATGTATATTCCTCCTTTCTAGACTATGAGTTGATTTTGCAATTTGTTTTCTAGAACAAAAATAATGCCTATATTCTTTTTACCACTGAAATAAGAGAATGTTTATTAGATTTAACAAATACATGAAATACATCAATGTTATTGTACATTTGCTATAATCAAGATACTACCTTTTTGGTTTTCCTAGATGTTTCAGAACTTTTACCTAGTCATCTTGAAATGTAGTCAGTAAAGATTAGAGATTGATTCTGTGACGGTTGCATTGCATGTAAGCCTTAGTGCTCTGACTAGACAACTAGAGTTTATATGAGTCAGCTTTATTACTTCTGTAGAAATAGAGGCTGCAACAAAATAGCTGTTTTCTTTTCTTTGATTATTGTCCTGGGGAGATGCTAAGATCAGCTTTCTTATCACTTTCAAGTAAGGAGACATCAATGGTATCAAATGTTATTATCAGAAAATAGAAACATTTGGTATTGTTTAGTATTAGATATTTAACTTCACTGACCTTAGGAGAGAAACCAAATACCAAGGTACAGGAATGAAAAAGAAGTTAGTCCTCCTTGAACTATGTCTCAGACAAACAGGTGAGGTGTCAGTAGATAATATTACATGCCGCTTTTGCAAAAGGGAAAGTTCTGAGGTAGTAGACCCTGGAATTAATTATCTCAAATACCTGGCCCTACTTTTCCTTAAAAGCTGGGAATAGAAATGTTGGTTATAGGTCTGAGGCATTGTATTATGAATGGAATTCATAGTAATTCAACAAAGAAAAAGCTAATAGCCATCTTCCTCTTAAGACAGAGGTTAGAAACTGAGCACAGATGTATTTTGTTTGACCTGTGGGTTTTTTGTTTTTGTTTTTGTTTCTTTTTACTCTTTAATTGAGAAATTAGTGTTTATTTATCTATATGGTAGTGCTTGGCTGGGTATACTTCTCCTATTAGACCTGCCTGCTTCCCTTTGCTGCCTTAGCATATTAAAGATGTACTTACCTCAATTTTAAAATGGTTTGATGCATATTTGAATTATACAGTACTTGAGTACAGGTTTGAGACTTTTACATTACTATCAAAGTTTCACTTTGTTTCATTTATATGTTAGTATGTTTTTTAAGTATAACTTTTTTGTGTTGTTTTCAATATCAGAATCGAGTGGAAATAAATGATGTAGACCCTGAGGTTTTTAAAGAACTGATGAGATTCATTTACACAGGGAAAGCACCAAACCTTGACAAAATGGCTGACAACTTGTTGGCAGCTGCAGACAAAGTAAGTAATTAGGTCTTAAAGAGCTGAAAAATGTCCTTAAGCTTGGTATTTCTAGAAAGCTATCATCAAATTAAAACCCCAAATAACTTGAAATATTGAATTAATTTATACCATCTTAGATGGCTCTTGAGACTGTTGTGAATAACATACAGTGGTATAATATGGAAGTGATATATTTTTTTAATCTAAGACATAAAAATATCTTGACCCAGCTAGAGTCTGTGGAAGGAAGTGAATTTTTCCATAACTCAGTTGTTTTGAGTATATCTTTACTGTTTTGTAAGAACAAATTATTGCAATGTTCAGATAGTCTTAATTAAGATACAGTGCATGACTTTTTTAAAAAGGAGAAAATACTCGGAATTTCGTCTATTTCTCTGTATTCAGAGATTTGTAAATATAGCATAGAAAGAAAAAACTTAATTTTTTAATGCTGTTCTATAATGGTGATTTTTTGAAGGTAGGGAAACAGTGCAAAAATGCCAGAAAATCTCAAAGCCATTAGTACTCAATCTTGAAAGTACATTGGGAGCTTTTTCCAGAAGTATTGTCCACGTCACTTTCATGTGTGTTTGTTTATGCATATGTGTGATACCATTGGGGAAAACTGGGCCAAATGTATACAGAATCTGTTATTTCTTAAAACTACACATAAATCTACACTATCTCAAATAGAAACTTAAATTAAAAATGCCATTTGCAGTAGCTACAGAAATATTATAAATGCATAAATCTGACAAAAGATGTTCAAGACCTGTATGCTGAAAATTATAATATATTGCCAAGTGAAAATCAGGTAGACCTAGATGAATGGAGAGAGAATGCTCTTCATGTACTGAAAGTCTCAATATTGTTAAAATTTAAATTCTCCTTAAAATTGATTGGTAGAACCAATGTGTGTCTAGCAGGTTTTTTTTCTTCTTTCCTCCCTGAAATTGACAAGCTGATTTAGAAATTGATATACAAGTGCAAGAACCTGAAATAGTCAAGCAGCTTTGAAAAGGAAAACTAAAGTAGAGGACTAACTGCCTGATAACAAAGATTTATTATAAAGCTTCAGTATTTAAGACTGTGTGTTGTAATGGTGACAAGATTGACACGTAACTCATTGGAACAGAATAGACAGAAATAGACTCACATATGTGGATATCTAATTATAGAAGTTCAAAGACAGTTCAATGAAAAAGGGATAGTCTTTCCAACAAAAAGTTGGTGCTGAAACAGATATCCATATGCCCAAAAAAGTGAACTTTAACTAATTTAAAGCAGTGAACTTTCTATGTGAACTTCTTGCCATAGACCAAAAGTAATACTAAATGGATTATGAACCTAAAAATCTAAAACTTCTAAAAGAAAATGAAAGTCTTCATAGTCTTATGCTAGGCAAAAACTTCTAAGCTATAACACCAAAAACATAATATATAAAAGAAAATAAACTAATAAATTGAACATCAATACAATTTAAACTTCTCTTCAAAAAACAGGAGAAAATAATGTAAAGCCTGTATCTGATAAATGACTTTTATCCAGAATATATATGATAAAGAACTTTTGTATTCGGACTATATAAAGAGCCCTCAAAACTCAGTTATGACAAAATAGTGTTATTTCAAAAATAGAGAAAATATTTGAATAGATACCTCCTGAAATAATCAAGTATATCAAAGGATACTCAACATCATTGGTCATTAGGGAAATATAAATTAAAACTATCATGAGATACTTCTGTACATGTTTTATGTCAACTAACATTACAGATACCATACTAAGTCTGATCAAGGTTGTGGAACAATTAGTACTCTCATACACTGCTGATGGGGATATAAAATGATAAAAATACTTTAAATGGTAGTTCCTTAAAAAGTTTTACACTTACTCTATGACCCAGTGAGTCCACTTTTAGGTTTTTACTCAAGAGGAAAGAAAGCATATATCTATATAATGACTTGTGTATACATGTTTATAGAGGCTTTATTTGTCATACCTAAAAAAGCTGGTAACACCCAAATATTCACCAACAAATGAGTGGAAAAACTCACTGTAGTATGTCTATATACAGTGGAATACTACTCAGCAATTAAAAGCATTGAACTATCTATATACAGACAATGACATGCATGAATCTCAAAGTAATGATACTGAGTGGAAAAAGCCACAAAATGAAGTACAACTCATTTTTGTACACAAAAATTAATACAAATTGTCTGATTCTACTTACAGAAGACTACAAAAACGGTGAATTATGGCAGGAGAAAGCATATAAGAGGTTTTACCTGGGGTGGGACAAGGGGAAAGGATTACAAAGAGGAAGGAGGAAACTTTTGGGGATGATGAGTGTGTTCACTGTCTTGATTTAATGATGGTTATATGGCTGTATGGACGTATTAAAATTTAAACGTTAAATATGTGCAGTTTATTGTATATCAGTTATGCTTCAGTAAAGCTGCTAAACATGTTACAATGAAATATACACTAATGACTGCAAGAATTTTAGTGGTTATGCATATTGAATTGTTTGGCCTAAAGAATGCGATGTGCTAGCTGATACACTCTGGTTTTTAAAAATAGCTAACAGAAATATGCTCATTAAGAGTATTGAGTAATAAGGGATTTTCTAAGAATAAAATTTCCTTAAAAAAATTAGTCTTGTATGAATTCATTCATATTTTCTTCGTATTAGGTTAAAATAATTTAAAGACTTTTAACCCTCAAATCAAAGTATACTGTGCTTTAACTTCATTTTCTAAGTTACAAATAATATGTATTAAAACTTCATAGTTTGAGTAAATGTTTAATGGTGCTGTTTTCTTTTTGGATAGTATGCACTGGAACGACTGAAGGTCATGTGTGAAGAAGCTTTGTGTAGTAACCTCTCAGTAGAAAATGTTGCTGATACCCTTGTCCTTGCAGATTTGCACAGTGCAGAACAGTTGAAAGCACAAGCCATAGATTTTATTAATAGGTAAGCTATGCTTGTATTTTACTGGGCATGACACCTTCCATATTTTTTCACTGGACTTTTTTTAAGTGTGTTTAAATCTTCAATGCAGGTGCAGTGTACTTCGACAGCTTGGGTGTAAAGATGGGAAAAACTGGAACAGCAAGTAAGATGACATCAGTTTCTGACTTAAAGTTGATCTGCACACATGAAATTAAGTGTTTGCCTAGCCTTTTAGTCATCTACAATAAGTATGAATCCAAATATTAGTTATATGAAGCAAACTGCCAGTTATTTAAAAAAAATAACTTGACTACTTAGTGGATTCTTGAGGCTATGCCCCCTTGTAGATTAGATTAGCTTCTAATGTGAACTAATATTGTTGCTTTTATTTCTTAAGCACATATACTCACACAGTATATAGTTGAGTCCAAGTATTTCAATGGTTACTAGAGATTTTTCCCCTGCCCTTTCAGAAAGCATTTCTAAAAATGTGGGAGATACTCATTTTATCCTATAAGGAATGTACCCTCCAGATTTGCCTTAGAAGTCTTTACATTTGAATGCTGACCTACTGCTTCTTAAGTTAGCCAAGTGCTCTACATCATATGCTTTTTTAGGGTAACTGCCTAATATTCCAAAAATGATAGCTCTTTGATCTTTCCTTTCCCTGATCAAACTATGAGAGGTGGGCTATTTGTTACATCTTTAAGCTTGTACCTTCTGCACAAGAACTAAGAGAACTTTTCTTTTTTCCTAATGTTTAGAATGATTTTTCTACTCTTTGTAATAATCAAAATAAAAAAGGTTAAAATCAATAGGTTGAAGAATTTGCATCTATTTTTGATTACTGTAAGCCCTTAAATTCCATATTTTCAAATTACCAGAAGTTGATGTGAGAAAAGACAAGTTGATAGACAGTGAAAAAAGGCAGTATTACAGACTTTAAATAGAAGGGATGTTGGTTGACTTAGTTAATTCACATTGTTTTAATCTGTTTTAATATATGTGAAGTTGGTTAACTGAATTCCTATCAGTCTGTGAATTTTGTTTTCTCAGAGTGAAAATTAATGACTACTTTTAAGTTATTGATTGGTTTGTATATGGGTTAGTGTGTGGTATTGTTATTATCATGGTACAGGATCCTAGAAAAATGAATTTGAATTTAAAATATAATGTATTAGCAGTAAATGACAATTTTATGATCCTTCATAATTAGATACTTTTAAGCTATAGTTTTTTTTCTGTTAAGAAAACATTTTGCATTGTAGCTTTTTCAATGCCAAAATATCAGCTTATTTTTATATCCCCTAGATAAGCTATTGTATGTACAGACCTTCAGTAGGTATTTGTTAAATTAAATAAATGAAAATGTCAGATATATTAAGAGGTATCTAGGTGATTCTAAGTGACTAGTTCAAATTATAAACATAATGACACAGTGGTAATTTAATATCAGGCAAATAAAAAAAGTTGTTATTAGTTACTGTTTAGTTCAACAACTAGCATCTGTTGTGTCTCAAGCACCATGCTAGGGTGCTGCACATAAAAATGCTTGTGAGGAAAAATTTTTGTTCTTGAGAAATTTATTTAATGAAAAAATAACATAAAAATATGCATTTTCATCATAATCTGGTAAGTAATGACAGAAAGGATGGTATGTGCAGGGCACTTAACAGAGGCTAAAGGTTTAGGGATGGCTTCCTGGGGATGACCAAGCTGAGTCTTAAAACATGAATAGGAATTAGCAGAGCTAAGAAGGAAATAACAGGAATTGAAGACAGAAAGAATAGTTTGAATTAAAGCACTGACACTTGATTATTCATTTGACAGATAATTTATATTTATTATTCAGTAAATAATAATTTACTGTACTCAGTACAAAGAATATAACAATGAACACAACAGATGATTCCCCTGCCTTCATGGAATTTATGGTTTAGCAGAAAATAAAAAGGAATTAAACAAATAATTGAAAAAGGCGTTGTGGATAAAATGAGAATTTCTCTGGCCAGGATTCTCACCTGGCCATGGTCGGCTAGCTCACTGCACACCTGTGGGCAATACATGGCTGTTGACTATAAAAAGAGCTCTGCCCAGTGCTCTGGACACGACACGGTGGCAGGGCTGCAAGGCTGCAGGAGAGCAGAGCAGAGGCTGGAGTCGTGGTAGCACCAAGGACACAGATCCAGAGGGTGGCTGTGTGGGACGACTATGCAGAGAGTCCCGGAGGACAGCTGTGCAGGATGGCTCTGTGGACAGAGAGGTCCAGAGGATGTCTATGCAGACAGAGGGGCCCAGAGGACGGCTGTGCAGGATGGCTGCGTGGACAGAGAGGCCCAGAAGATGGCTGTGCAGACAGGGGCCCAGAGGATGGCTGTGCAGACAGAGGGGCCCAGGGGCAGAGACCGGCTTGCTGCATGCAGACTCGCTCTGAGTGAACTGGATTTTGGTGACTGCTCTGCCACCTGGAAATAAAGTTGGGTATAACCCTTTCACCCCAAGAACGTTTTGCTGTCATTTTCTTTGGTCACACTGAATTCTTAGCAAACTTGCCTGGGGCTGAAACCCATTGGCAAGACAATTGGTGAAAAGTCTGCAGGGTTCACTGTTGACCAAGGAAAAAGACAGGCTGCCCTTATGGGAGGGGTGCTTCAGCAGGCTGCCCCTGTGAATGGGGAAATAGTGGATCGTCCCCCAGTGGGTATGTGGTCTGAGGTGGCTTGCCTCCTAGAGGACTGGGCCTCACCCCAGGACTGGAGGCAATTGGAGGTGACACCTGAGGCAGTAGGGGAAGCTCTTGGTAGAGTGAGTGGATCCTTTGAGAAGCAGAGTGCCTGTGAGGCAGCGGGGACTGTGGGTTGGCTGCTCCTCACAGTCTTAAAAAGGTGTACAGAGGAGACCCAAGAAATGGCGGTGCGAGAACATGAGCTGCAAACTTCAACAGATTCTCCGAGGAGGGAAGTGGCATTGTTGCAAGAGGTGGCATGAGAATGAGAGCTGCAGACTTATGTGGATGCCCTGAGGAGGGAAATGGTATTGATGCAGGAGGAGGCTGCACAAGAACATGAGCTGCAAACGTCTGTGGATTCCCTGAGGAAGGAGATGGCCTTGATGCGGGAGGAGGCAGCACAAGAGCGCTGGCAGCAAGGTGCTATTGGAGACGAGACGGCAGCGGTGCCAGGTGTTCTGAAGGAGGAAGAGGCCATCAAGGAAAAGGACGCACTCCTGAAGGAAGCACAGGCGGAGGTGGCACGAGAACATCATCTGTGAAGCATTGAGCTGAAGATAAGAGACTTTCTGAAGACAGAGGTAGCATTGCTGCTAGGCACAGTAGAAAAGGTAAAGACTGTAGCAGAGGAGGCACTCGGGGAGTGGAGAGAAAGGTGCCATCAGTCCCAGAAATGGAGGAGTTGGGGAAGGATGAAGAAGTGGTGCAAGAGACACTGGCGCCTCCTGTATTGAAAGTACACCCAGTATTTGTAAAGCAAATAAAAGACCCAGCAGCTGAAAGTTCCCCAAGGAGAGGAGCAGCCCCTCCCCAGGTCGTGGAGCATGCTATGGTCCACCCCTATACTCAGGCTGAGCTGGTGGCTGTGGGACTTACGGGTGAATGGAATTGTTCTGTCGGGATCAGAGATGGGAAAGCTGTCTTCCCTGACAGTGCAGCCCACCTTGAGGCAGCGATTACAAAATGCAAGGTAACACATACAGTAGATGAAGCAACGAGAACCCGGAAAGAAATAAGACCTATTACTCACAGGAGGAATTTGAGGGGCCTCATGAAGGTTACAAGGACCCAGATGTGGGTTGATTTGTGTGGATAAAATGAGAGTTCCTGTGGCCAGGATTCTCACCTAGCCCTGGTTGACTAGCCCACTGTACACCTGTGGGCAATTTGACTCTCTAAAAAGAGCTCTTCCCAGTGCTCTGGGTGCCACATGGTGGTAGGGCTGCAAGGGTGCAGGAGAGCAGAGCAGATGCTGGAGTGGTGGCAGTGCCAAGGACAGAGGCCCAGAGGATGACTGTGCAGAGAAGCCCAGAGGACAGCTGTGTGGACAGAGGGGCCCAGAGGCAGAGACTGGCTCGCTGCATACAAATTCGCTCTGAGTGAATGGGATTCTAGTGACTGACCTGCCACCTGGAAATAAAGTTGGGTATAACCCCTTTCACCCCAAAGAGCGTTCTGCTGTCAATATTCTTTGGTCACATTGAATCCATGGAGAACTTGCCTGGGGCTGAAGCCCATTGGCAAGACAATTTGATATGGGCAGTAGATCGAAGTTAATTAGATGGGAAGCAAATAGGATTTTACTGAAGCTATGGCAACAACTGAAACCAGAGCAGCAGTTCCAGCTATTAAGACCAAAGAGGCAGAGGTCAAAGACAGAGCCGCGAGTCCGGCCTGTGTGTCTGCAAGAATTTTTGCTGGAAAGGCTGGAGAACAATGTTCGAGCTTCCTTGCGCATGGACCATTGCAGAGGACTAAGGGCACATAGATTGAGAGGAGAGAATCCTGGAGGGCTGGAGTGTGGATAAATTGAGAGTTTCTCTGGCCAGGATTCTCACTTGGCTGTAGTTGACTAGCTCATTGCACACCTGTGGGCAATACATGGCTGTTGACTCTATAAAAAGAGCTCCGCCCAGTGCTCTGTACACGACACGGTGACAGGGCTGCAAGGCTGCAGGAGAGCAGAGCAGAGGCTGGAGTCCTGGCAGCACCGAGGACACAGGTCCAGAGGACGGCTGTGCGGGATGACTATGCAGAGCGGTCCGGAGGACAGCTGTGCAGAACGGCTGTGTGGACAGAGGGGCCCAGGGGCAGAGACCGGCTTGCTGCATGCAGACTCGCTCTGAGTGAACTGGATTTTGGTGACTGATCTGCCACCTGGAAATAAAGTTGGGTATAACTCTTTCACCCCAAGTACATTTTGCTGTCATTTTCTTTGGTCACACTAAATCCATAGCGAACTTGCCCGGGGCTGATACCCTTTGGCAATATAGTGTGGTGACAGGTAGTAACCTATCTGAACATATATGAAAGGAACCTAACCTAATCTAGGAGTCAGAAGACTTCTTGAGGAATTGTTGTATAAAGATCTGAAGTATTAGTAGGAGTTACCCTGGTGAAGAAGTGAGAAAGTTCATATTAGAAAAAGGAATCAGGTGTGCAAGTTTTGGTGAAGGAAGAAGAGCAGAGGGTGAGAAAGAGAGGTTATAAGAAGAAGCTGGAAAAAGCAGACAGAGATCAGATCCTGGAAGGCCTTCCAAATTCATTCACCCTTTAAACTAGGGTAGGGAATCGTCAGTTTGTGTCTTTAGCAATTTGTCTGTATGCCAGGTAGGGAATAAATTGAGGAGGTTTTGAGGTGGTAGTGGTGGTTGAGGAACAGTGTTAAAAACAGGTAAACCAATTGGAAAGTTATTGGAGTAGTTAAAGCAAGAGATGAAAGATGAAATTAGACTTGATTATAGACAAGGGGACTAGCTGGAAATGAAAGGATATACTGTTTTGAAGGGAAAATATATAATAATTGGATATTATTTGGATTGTGGGTGAGAGAAGACAGAAGACAAGAAAGGGAGAGTCCTGACAGGAGACAAGAAAGGGTAACTGAATTTGCTGTTTGAGCTATATTAATATTCTGATTGCTGAGTGAGAACATACTGCTACAATAAGCCATTTGGTATCAGTACACAAAATGCCAGAACATGGAAGTGGCAAGTGGAACACTAGAGAGAGGAAGAAGGAGACCTTATTTCTCTTCCTAAAGAATTTGAATCCTGGCCATGGGGAACAGTAGAACATGACATGATAGTCCCATATGTTACTAAAGCAGCACGTGGAAGGAAGCTGTTTCAAGAGGAGCAAAATAGTAAGTAGACCAGAAGAGAAATTAGGGGACTGTTGTGATAATCAAACACAAGATGATGTGGGCATTAACTAGGGATTTTAAGTATCTTTGGAAATTAAAATAGGCCTTTAATGATTGATTGGAAATGACAGGGTCTAGGATGACACTCAGGTTTCTGACTTGAATCTCTTGTGATGGTGGAATCATTAGATGACTGGAAATGAGGGAGGAAGAATTTGGGGCTTGGAAAGAGACACATTGAGTTCTTATCTGACAGTATTGAATTTATGGATCCTGAGGCACATCCAAGTAAAGAGAAGAGCTGATTGGACCTTGAGTGGGGAGTGCGTGGAGGCTAGAATTGAGCAAATCAATAGTTACCATCATTCATTATGATAGTTAAAATTGTGAAGTGCATGAGATAGGATAAATAATGAATGTTAAAGGAGAAGAGTAGAGGACTAAAGTTGTCTGAAGAAAACCTGCATGTAAGAGCCAGGGGAAAGAGCTCTGGAGAGAGCTAGTACAGAAATGGTAATGATGGGAATAGGACTGTGGAGACAAGTGTCACATACTTCAAGAGAAAAGAACTTCCAGAAAAATAAGCTTCAATCACAAGAGAAAATACCAGTAAGGTAAAGATAATATTTTAATGAATTAAAATGGTTTGACTACATAGAATAGCAAAGTGTTGAAAATATTTTGAAATCTGTACATTTTTTAAAAATTGACAATACATTCTGAAAAGTACTCTTTAATATCTCTCAATTTTATTTTTCAGCCAATCAGCAGACATAATGGAAACATCAGGTTGGAAGTCCATGATTCAGTCTCACCCTCATTTAGTAGCAGAAGCCTTCCGAGCGCTAGCATCTGCACAGTGTCCGCAGTTTGGCATTCCACGCAAACGGCTAAAACAGTCTTGAATCTTCCATGAACTGTAGAAAAATGGAATTGACTTTTACTCCTCCAGGTCCAGAAGGATTCTAATACACAAACCATAAGCAAGAGTTGTTTCTGTTGTCTTGTCCACAGAACAGAAGCTAAAAAAGCATATTGCTTGTATTTCAGGTGGATAATTTATGGTTTATTCTTCAGCTTTAAATTAGACTGATTATACTCTAATTCACTTCAAGGCCTTAAATTATCTTCAATGACTTCTCTTGTTCATGTAATACTTTCATTTTTTTATTGTGCCTTGTCATTTTGACCAAGGCTATGCAGGATTGCACTAGCTCCATAATGCAGTAATATTGATAACTGAAGATACTGAGTTTCAAAAGGATCTTCCATCAGTTTGAGAAAAACAAAGTCAATTTTATAGGGTTTGTCCTGTGCTATCTCAAAGTTTAAAACTAGATTCTCCTGAAGAGCACTTGTATTGGAGATTACTGGTAATATCTCCAGTGTAAGTTGTATAAATACAAGAGAACCTACTTACCTTCAAGGTAAGTTATGGCAATACACTGCTTCAATTCTAATTTATTTTTCATTTCAGGGGGCAGATATGCAATGAGTTGGCCCAAATGTTGTTTGCTTATATGTTAACTGTCCAACAAACTGAGAGAGGCATAATGAACCTTTGCTTGTGCTTTTTGTGGGTTTCTCCAAGTTTACAATGAATGAGAATTGATTGAGGTTAAAATTTCAGTTTAGAAAAAGAATGTTTTGTGCTGAATTAATTTAATTTATAGTGACCTACATTTATATGAAGAATTCTGTACGTGTTAAAAGTAAGGGTGACCAAATGTAAATTTAATGAGTGGGCCAATTAAGAAAGATATATAATGCACTTTTAATGTGTAACTTTTGTATGCTGAATGGTACATATATTCTTTGCTTTTGAGGAAATTAATAAGTTATAATTAATTGTGTCTTAACTTTTGAAAGAAATTTTTTAAGACAGATTGAGGCAACTGAGATGTTTGTCGTAACAGATAAGAAAGATATCCTTGATTGTAGTTAAATGGGTTTGAATTTCAGATATTCATTATTGAATTTACTCCTGTTCTGTCATAATTTGAAGAAGGTGTCTGAACAGTAAATGAATCCTGGGCAGTCTACTCTCCTAAAAATAATGAAGTATTTTTTGCAGACTAAAGGAGAGAACCCTTAGAAATATGTCAGGCCACACTTTGAACCTTCCACCACCCCCCTCCACCACCCCCCACCCTCCACCCCCCAGCTTTCTCCTTTCTGTTTCAGTTACTGTACTAACATTGTGGACGATACTGAAATTCTGCATAATGTGAACAGGATAAACTATTTATAAACTGCTTTTCATGGGCCAGTTCTTTATTATAAATGAATTTTAGCTTTAAACATATACACATGTTCAGTGTTTGATAGCTCTGTTCACAGTGGAGGTCTGTTTTGGTGTATTGTCCCAGAGAAGTACAAGTGGTCAGTGTCAAGTTACAGCATCTGATTTCCTTTATAGTGACAGTATGCTTCTTAGGCAAGATTTATATTTGACCACAAGAAAAAACTGTGTTACTGGAAAAAAAAAAATTCATGTACCTATATATTTTCATATATTACTTTATTCTCCAGATTCAAATTTCTATAATTTGTTTATTTAGGTTTTGAATTTAGGACAACAATGAAGCCTGAGGTTTTAAAATGTATTTTATTTTGGTTACCTCTTTGTTAGGTTTTCACTGCATCCTAATATATCAGTAATGTTCATATTTACCTTGAACAAACACTATCAAATAAGTGTTATCTACAACAAACTGGAGGTTGAAAATATCATATTTTCAGATATCTTTCTTTCTCCGTAGTTGAATTGGGTCTTCGTTGTATTAAATTTGAAGTGGGAAGAGGAGTACCTTGGGATAGAAGAAAAATGCTTACATGTTAATGGGCGTCATCCTATCTCTGTAAGAGTACTATAGGGAGCAGAAACCCCTTCACTTCACAGCAAGATTGAGTCTGTTATAATTACAATGTACAATTTTAAAGAAAATACACATATATACATATATACTTCAAGATTTTGCCAGGGTCTTGTAAGAAAATAATCCTCAGGCTATTTTTTTGTTGTCATATATATATATATATATATATACTGTTGTGTGTGTGTGTGTGTATATATATATATATATATATTATATATATACTGTTATATCCATTTACATCAAATGCACACAGGCACATTGTGAATTAACTCATTGAATCTACATTTCTAGTCATAGTGACATCAGTAATAACACCATGTAATGAACATTTCAGCAGCTAGCCCTTATTTACTTTAGTGTTTATAGCAAATCTTAAGGAATTTATTATAAAGTTGGGGTTTTTTTGGGTTTGGTAGCACATTTTGTACCAAAAAATGTCAAACACTGTGCTGAAAGAATACCCATGTGTGTAGAAATGTCCACTTTTCAGATAATATAATGCCTACCATTATACTAACAGAATCATATGGTAGTTGATTTATTTTTTTTTTTATTTATTGTGGGGTTTTTTTTTGTATTCTGGGTTCTTGAGGCAATGTTAAAAATTGTTAGTGTATTCTGATGTGAGTGCTCTAATAGCATTTTTTTTCATTTTTAAACTACACATGCTGTTTTCAAATAGGCATAGACTGTGTCCTGAGCAGTCTAATCTTTTGAACTATCTCCCACTGCTCCTGTTTTCCTTTCATCATGTGAAGCTTTTCCTTAGAAAAGTAGTAACTGATTTTAAATATTACATATTATAAAAGTAACCATTGGAGAACTGTTCTTTGGATTGAGTACAGAAACACTATATTTGTGCCTTTTTGTTTTTAATTTTAATGTGTATTGGTATTTGGAGCACAAATATGAAGGTGCCATATTATGGCTTGCCATTGTTACCTCCTTGAATTTGAATACTCATGTATCATTGTCTTGAAATAGTAATTGGAGAACCTTGCACGTATTACATGGTCCTTGGGTGTGTGTGTGTATGTGTGTGTGTGTGTACATGAACTTGTATTCACTTGGTCTTGTGTGCAGTATGTTCAAAAAAGTAAATTTCTGAAAATAGGACTTAGTTAAATGTTGAATGTTTAGGTTAGTTGAAATATTTCATTTAAATGTGTTTTATAATGAGGGACAGTTGGTTGACAGTGGAAATTACAATTTTCAAAAATGTTACCAATTTACTGCATGACAAAATGTGAAAACAGTGCCTTCTTAGGACATAAATCTTTAAATTAAGTTTTAAAATATTAACAAAATTCTCTTAAAAATTTATGAACATTATTGGCTTATTCTTAAACTAGACCTAAGTTAGAGCTTAAGTTTACAAAAGTAAAATTACTAATTTATTTACCCATTTAAGTTTTGTGCATAAATTTAAAATCTGAGTAGATTTCTTTATGAAAAGGTGGATCATAGATGCTACCCAGTGTTACTAATATAAAACACTAGGGACTTTGGTAAGTTGTCTTGTTAAAATCGAACTCAGCAAGCTTTTTTCAGCCAGGCATACTTAAAGAGGTGAATTATTCTGAGTTGGATGTTCATGCTCTTGGATGGGTAAAATAAAAATATTCAGTGTATTCTTGCAAAATAAAGTGAGTGGGTGGGTTTTAGTGTTTTCAGATTATAAAGACAGCACTTTGAGCGCACAGAGTATTTTGCAAACTTCTTTTATACAGATATGAGCTCTACTTTAAGTGTTCATGGAATGATGTCAATTTTAGGTCCAGTTGAATGAATATTGAGTGCCTACCATATGCAAGACTTCCTCATCACTAGGAAAAAAATCACCACACTGTGTCTTCTGTTTGCAGTTTATGGACTTTATGTTTGAGGAAATCTTATATTTAAATCTTTCTGTTAGAATTTATCATTGTATACTGTAACCAGTTAATTTTGCATTCAGTTTTTTAGAGTGAAGCTATAACTTAAGTGAGTCCCATTTTTGAAAATAAAATTCTGATTATTTAAAAAATTAGTTCTGGGGGAAATTGATTTTTCAATATTCAAATGTGTAAAGACTTATATTGAACTTTTCAGCCTCATTTTTAATCAGCTGATGTTAATGATGAGATACATACTTTTTGTATCTTGTTGCTGAAAATATTTTTTGCATTTCAGCACGTTGAGTTAAAATAAAGTTGTTACTACTTATTCAGAATCAGTTGGTTTATTTTGTGTTTATTTGAGAACAAGAACTCTTCTTTTCCAGGATGACTATGATGCTTTGCAAAAGAGTCATGTATTCAATATGGTAAATTTTAAAATAATGCATAGTAGTTTTTTCTACATAGGAAAGATAGTATTATTTTTGAGCCTGCTAAAGACTTATTCTTTAACTGTGAGATAATACACCTATGTTCACTTTAATATAGTCATACTGTCAATATTGAATGATTTTCGCTCATGTCATGTAACTTTAATGGGCTTAAAGATCAGCTTTCCCTAGTCTTCCTATCCTTTCTTAATTTAATCTGAGAATAATCTTTTGCTATCAATAAGAGCAGATCTGGGTCAAAGTGCTTTTCTGTACCAGCTTAGTAACAGTGACGCAATTAGTTCTTAAGCATTGTGGCTCAAGTGGCAATAGGAATGTACAGTGAAAAACCTTCCATATACTGAACACACACATATATGTACACATACAATGAATTCACCTTAGAAGAATATTGTCTATGTAATTATAATAAAATAGGACAAGTGGCCATATTCTAAAGTTTTAAATGAACTATATAAACCTTTCCCCTTCTACTCTACAGCAGCAAGCACCCTTAATACTCTATTTTAGAACACTGGAATGTTGTTTCCTTCATTCTACCACCTCAGCATTATTTGTTTCTAAGAGAAGGCTGAGAGTGGCATTTGCTTTGATCACAGTTTCTAAATAGAAGACATATTTGGTAGAAATATTTCATATAATATATTGTTGTGACTTTTTTGGTGGGGGTTGGATAGTACTAGGAAGGTTAGCATGCATCCACAACGGATAGAGGCAAAACTGTTTTGTCATCCTCATTTTGAGTGCTTCCTTCCTACCTATGCTTTTGTCTCTTACCCTCCACCTTTTGTAAAAGATTCAGGTGTAGTTCTGTACCAGTTTGTGACATAACAGCCCAGCAATTCTTGTAGTACCTAATCTTCCCTTCTGCCAAGATTCAGCCCAGGCCTTAATAGATAACAGCAAAGAAAGAAAAATTGTGGGATTTAGAAATAACAATTGTAGCACCAAAAAAAGAGCAACCAGTATTCCTGTGACTCTGATACCAACTTTGTGCTAAAATAGATTTAATGCCATAGCAGAAGGTTTTAGAATGTACACTTTGTACATTATAAATGCAAAAACGTGTAGGTCCTTACAAAAATGAGGAAAAATGCAAATGGCATGGAGTTGAAAAAGTAGCAAAATTAGGTGCATTAAACTTGATAAATAGCAGAAGTCATAAAGCAGAAATTTCAATCAGTAGAAGACAAAGTTCAGAAATGCTCCCAGAACACAAGGACAAGAAGAGAGAGAAAGATGATTCAGTTTAATTTCTGTCAACAATTAAATGTAGTGCCAGACACTGTGCTGAACTAGTTTAGTTTTTCATAGTAAGGTAGAAATGGTCCATATTCTCATCAAGTCCGTGTTCTTGAAGAAAGCACAATTATACAATAGTGATTGTTGTGATAGGATTACAAGAAGGCTATCTACTCTGGGGAAGGTGTGGAGATCCTAGGTTCTTTTAGGAAGTAACATCTAAATTAAGATTGAGTAGAAATTAGGCAGTTTAGTTGGAGTGTCACCCAACCCAATATGTGAAATTCCAGGGGTTGACCTTGGTCATATAGAACATGTATGGAAACAAAAATGAACATAGCTATATCCTAGTGTGAAAGGGAAGAGAAGACTAAGCCAGAAAGCAAAGGCCATGATTTTTTTAAAAGACTCATTACAGGAGTTGAATTTAACCTATGAGTGTTGAGGTATTTTAACGGTGGTTACATCATTAACAGCCAATCTGCTGATGGATTGGAGGGGGTTAGAAGAGAGGTTAGGGAGACCCTCTTAAGAAGTGAGTAATGCTCGTGTTCTGTGCTAGGCTAGGAGCACTGGGATGGATAAAAAGGGAGAGATTTAAGAGGAAATACCAAGGGGGCTTAGAAGTAAGTGCATATGGCAGAAGGAAGAGGAGTCAAGTAACTCTTAGGATTTATATTTAGCGATCAGGTGGAAGATAGTACCTATTCACTGATAGAGTAATCATTAAGAGTAGCAGCAGTTTGGGGAGAAATCCTGACTATTTTTAAGTTTCCTATGGGGCAATTCAGTTGGATGATTCAATCTTAAACATAAAAATCATCTAGGTCCTAAAGTCAGGAGTCCTCATTGGACAAGTGATGATTGGTTTATCTAGGCCAGCAAAGACAAGCCAGCCACAAAGGCAGAACATGGACAGAGAGCAACTTGCAAAAGGGAATGAATGATGACAAAAATAAAACTGGAAGAGTGTCCATCCCAGAATTTGGAGAAGAGAGTATTTCAAGAGAAGGAATGGATAACAGTGACAAATGCTAAGTAGTCAAATAGGAAGCTAAAATAGAAATACAGTATTTGAGGAAAGGACCAGGAGTCTTGAGTGGGGAGAGAGGATTGGAGTGAGACAATAGATGCTGTAAGTTTGAAACATGGAATGTTAAGCAAAGGTGACCTGGAGGATGGGATTTAGCATCAGTTTCTTATTTTGGTTTTCCTTTATGGTGGGAAAAGTGTCAGTATATTCAGGTAATGATAAGGAGTCAGAAAATAGAATACAGATGGGATTACTAAAGTCCTACTCAAGACGATTGGAATCAGATTCTAAGATTGCCTCTAACATGTGCGAGGGAGAAATACATAGATTTAGTCAGTTTGTAGTTGGGGTTTTTTTTGGCCTCAAAGCTGATATACGCATTTTATGTTTTTTATTCCTTAGGAAGTCATCTGTTTAGAGTAAAGGGATTGGATGATGGGTTTATAGCAGGAATCTGCAGACTTAACTTTGCAAAGGATTCAGATAATAAGTACCTACTCAGCCTTCTATTAGAGTGTGAAAGCAGCCATAGAGTATATAAACAACTAAGTTTGGCTGTAATTCATTAGAACTATTTACAAAGACAGTCGGCTCAATTAGACCCTTGTGCTATAGTTCGCGTAGTACAAAGATCTGAGACAAGTAGAAGTATTTTAGAAAAACTGATGTGAAGAAAAACAGATGTCCTACTTGAGATTGGAGGCCATGACTTTTCAGAGGATGAGTTGAGGAAACCCACCATGTGTGTGGCAAGTATTTGTACAATTGATATTGCCAAATAAATAGTTGGAATAGAAGCAGTGATTAAAGATATTAATCATTTTTATTAAAAAATCAATTTTAGAAATGAGAAAATTAATAGTGCTCCAGGTGAAACTCATGAACAGATAGCCAAACCTAGACATACTGAGTGACTTGTAAATTGGAAAGGTAAGTGATGTGAGCATCCAAGCAATAAATAAAAAGTTAGAAGTCATATTTCTCTGACAAGTGTAACAAATTTTAAAAACTCAACTGTTTAGTGATTTATTTCTAAACTTAACATTTTAATCATATAGAAATAATATATTAACATACAACCCAAAGCATAGGGAATGCCAAATATTGATCAAAATGAATCTAAGCATAAGAAGTTGAGGCTTAAAAGGACTGGCAACAAGTATTAAATTATTAGAAGGCTGACTTACTATAATAATGTTTACAAATGTAAATATAGAAGTTGATCACAATGTCCTCGCCCTAAAAGCTCCTGCACCTCCAGACTGCCTGCACCTCCTCCCACCCTTCCGGATTTCATAACGCAGACAGCTAATGTCCTCCTTGTGGTAGAACTTGCTTCACTGATGAGCCCTGGCTGGTTTAGAAATATGAAATATAAAATGTAAAAATATAAATGTTACAAATATAAATGCAAAAGTGATCATCTGTTGTAAATAAGGAAACGAGGACAATGAGGAACTGAAATTGAGAAATGAAAGTACAAAATTCTTCCTCTTTCATAAAAGGGAATTAAAGTTCCTGATTATTAAAATTTCAATTATAAACATTTAAGGATTTCTTAAAATAAGCTTTACCCACTGGTAAAATTTTGAATAGATTTTATATCCTTCAAAGCACAAATAAAACATTGTATGTGTGGCAAAGGTAAGGGGAAAATACCCATTAGGAAACCAAAAAAGGAGGAGGCAAAAATAGCATTACAAAGATCCAGCACTACATGACAAATAAAATAGGTAAATGCACTTACTGTAAGAAAAACTTAGTCAACAATGATCTCATTCATCAGATTGTGCCAGCTGGGTATGTAATAGGGATGCCCTGGTATGATGAAATTTAATAAAATCAGTAACAAAACCTAAGCCTTGTGTAAGGGAAAGTAGAGGGTATTGTATAGTATATCCCAACAGTGCGTAATGGGCCAAGCATAGAGGAGAAAGAATGTTTTTTTGTAAGGGACAAGTGTTAGGTTCAGGTTTTAGAGAGGATGATGATTTTCCTGAAATTTAGTAGAACTGAAAGGTAGTGTATTTTGTCAATGGGGAGTGCATCTGTGTGTGTACCTCTCTCTCTTTGTGGAATAGGAATCCAAGTGAGAACTCTGGTAAGACCAAATCAGGCAAGCCCTTTTAAGTTCATTATTGCCCAAATTGACTAAATCAAAGGAAAGTTGGAAACAGCTTTAAAATAAATACCTCCACAAAAGGCTTGGCTTTTAGGTTGACTTTATATGGAAGTTGTTTATTATTAAATAGTATGTATGTTATTTATAGTTATAGATATATATAAAGTATTTATATGGAAATCATTTCAAATTTCCTAGGAATTGATAAATCCCGTGATATGTGTATTGAAGTAAATACTGAAAAATGAATGTACGCAAGTACTTTTAATCAAGCTAGTATAAACAAGGTAATCTTATAAAATTGCAAAAAACAAATGTAATTGTGTAAGTGGGACACTAATGTGATGACCTAGAGGTAGCAGTAACCTAATAAATGTTCATTCCCAGTTCCTTTCTTACTTTTCCAAAGTGAATACCCCAAAAAGTGAGACTTAGACACTCATATGTATTATAAATGAGTGATAGAATCTTAAAGAAAA